TGTTTTGTCTTTTGTGGCTATCCAAGCACTTCCTCACTTGCCTCAGATTAAGCACAAAATCCTGAACTGAAAAATTAAACTCACTGAAAGCTGGCTTTAACCAAAATGCAATCCTATATTTAATTAAGTCACAAAGGTCCTCCACATTTGCAATAGTTTTTTTGAATACACACTCATTTCTGCACTTCCACAAAAACTGGGGGTGATCAACTCTAGTGCTTCCATTGCTTGCGTGTTTTGTGGCAGTGATACTGAATCAGTGACTCATGTCTTAATTTGGTGTCCTTTTGTGTGGAGGGTTTGGGCTGAAATGTTGGGTTGGTGGGATATCCAAACTGCTATTCCAGGATCTGTGGAGTGTTTACTGCTGTGGTGGGCAGGGGAGAAGTTAAAGAAGAAAGAAAAGAAGATCTGGAGGGTGATTCCATTGGCTGTGATGTGGTCTGTGTGGAAGTGCAGAAATGAGTGTGTATTCAGAAAAACTATTCCAAATGTGGAGGACCTTTGTGACTTAATTAAATATAGGATTGCATTTTGGTTAAAGCCAGCTTTCAGTGAGTTTAATTTTTCAGTTCAGGATTTTGTGCTTAATCTGAGGCAAGTGAGGAAGTGCTTGGTTCATGGGAAGCAATCAAGTGGGTTGCTTCTCACTCTGCCGGACATGGTCATGAGGAATGGCTAAATAACTATGTTGATTTTAAACGAATTTTCTACTCTGGAGATAGTGCAGGTGCTAACATTGCATACAACATGGTCATGAGAGCAGGTTCAGAGAAATTAGATGGTCTCAATGTTAATGGAATTGCTCTAATCCACCCATATTTTTGGGGAAGCAAACCAATTGGAACTCATGAATCCAGCGATGCTACTTCGAGATTAGAAGCAGACAATATTTGGTTGATTAATTCACGAAATGCATTTGGATTGGATGATCCAAGACTTAACCCACTTGTGGATCCAAAGTTGTCCACCCTTGGATGTAGCAAGGTTCTAGTTTTAATAGCTGAGCAAGATATATACAGAGATAGGGGTTTCTATTACTATGAGGCATTGCGTACAAATGGTTGGAAAGGAAATGTGGAAATTATGGAGACTCCAGGGACTCATGTCTTTCAATTGAACTTTCCAGATTCAAAATATGCTCAAGAAATGCTTGAACGAATATCTTCTTTTGTGAACAAACCCTAGTCCGGTGACTTCTTAGCTGCTTGCCATCTTTAATATACAAACATACCTTAATTTGTGTATTCTCATATAATTGTTGATATTTTCTTGTTATTTGTTCATATTTGTTCACTTATATAAAAGTTACTACGCATGAACATGGTTACAGTAGAAGAGTGGCTTTGAACTTTTCAGTTTGTTTTCGACAATATGAAAAAATAATAAGAGAAAATTTACTTTACTCTCCAGTACTTTTGCATCAAAACACTTTATTACCTTATAGTTCAAATATTCAATTACAATTTCAATCACAAAAACAAGAGTGACAACTACAATTTCAGCATCTCAATACCAATCTGCCACAAAACTTGGTCACCCAAATCCCAAAAAGCATCCCTTCAGAATGCACATATCAGCAAAGCAGAGTAGAGCACATTAGCAACTAGATAAGAACACACAGAAGAAGCATGAAAGCAAAGAAATATACACAAAATTTAAAGCACCAGCACCCCTACAAGGATTATAAAGATTGACAATTGGAATTATTGAATTGGCAGTTTGAGTTACAAGTAATGTTACGCATCATGAAATAAATATTTTGAAAAGTTTCATGAAATTAATCTAAGGGTGATTGTATAACATATAATAAAACACTACAAACTAATTCAAGGGTGGAGAATCTTCACGAAGGCTTTTCAAGATCCTTTTCTTCGCTGATCAAAAAAAAAAAAAAAGCACATGATTAATAAATTTATACCATCTACACATGAGAGTTGCACAATCATAAAAATGTTAATTTTTTTACCACTACTCTACTGAAATATAATTTTTCTAAAGAAAATAATATCTATCATCTTTTTTAAAATTATTTTGAAAATAAGATGTATTCTATACTTATATAGGGCTGAACATAAAAACCAGAAAAACTGCAAATCGGTTTAATCCATATCTAAAAACACAGCTTGATTTGATTTTTTTCAATCTATGGTTCGATCTTGACTCTTAAAATAGGTGAACCATATTTCACGGTTCGGTCTATGATTTTATAGTTATGATTCCAGTTTACAACCAAACCGGACCGTTTAAATATATACATATATATAATTTGTTATTTAAGGTGGACACTCAATTATCTTATTAGTATTTCATATATTCATGAGTTGTTAACCATGTTGTTTACAAGTGTGCTCTTGAATAATAGTAGAACTAGTTCTAAATAATCATTTAAACTATTTTGTTTGTAGATTTACTTGATTTTTGAGCAAGTAGTGATTATGTTGTAAATTATGACAAACTTCATGAAAACTGTAGTTCCAAACTAAATTGAATCACGGTTTTATGATTGGGTTTGGGCTTGGTTTACTTCAAAACTGAACCAAATCATACTCACCCCTAATACTATAGATAGATTTAAAGTTTGTGAGATATGTGTTTATAAATGGGATTGGGTTGTCTTGACATTCCAGTTTGGCACAATGGGATCGACACAGATTTTGGTTTATGTTTTAGATTTCAGTGTGCATATCATCAATGAAAAATTATTCACCCAAAAAAATCCTCAATGAAAAATTTGTTCAAAAAATATATATATCATCAATGAAAATGGATTAAATTCATTTTACCCGCTCTTAGTTTGGGGCTGGAGCATTTTATCACCTATGATTCAAATTTAGCCTGAAAGTCCCTATATGATTTTGCACTAAAATGCCACTGTTAGTTTTTTCATTCAAACAAATGGAAGATGTATGTAGTACACAACATTTTTTAGGATGAGTTTTGTTTTTTGAAAAAAAAACACACGTTTCCTTCTTACTGGTTCGTACCTGTGACGCGCCCGTAAAGAACAAGAACTTCAAGAACCCTTTCACGCGTATGAGCTATCATGCACCATAATTCAACGGTTTTTAACCACACGTTTCCTTCTTACTGGTTCGTACCTGTGACGCGCCCGTAAGCCGTCCCTTTTTTCACGTGCGCCGTCTGACGCATACATTCTTCTAGGCGTGTATTGATTACTTTTTGTCGCCGTTTTCATTTTTGACAAAACATCTCTTCGATTTTTCCCTTTCACCTTATTCTCGTTTCTGAAAAACTTTTTCTCTCTCTAGCTTTTCTCATTTCTTCCATTGTTCCAGACCTCAAGCTCTGCAAAGGCCCTCATTCTTCCTCCTGGTGAAGTTTCTGCCGTCTTGTTACTTCTGTAACCATCGTCTGACTTCGGCGATTCCTACACCGGTTTTATTTTTTCTGATAAGCAACTGTTCTTTCTTATTTCAGTTCGTGATTTGTTTTTTTGGAACTTGTTGTTATTACTGCTTCATTCGAATGTTCAATTTGTGAATCTGAATGCGTTTATTCCATGGTTTGGCCCTTGCCCATATCTTGAACACACGCACTGTTTCACCATTTCCCTGTATTTTTGCCACTGATCTTGGCCCTATATTTCTTGTATTCTTTATGCTCTTGATAAACTATCTCTGTTCTTGATTCTGAAACTCCGTTCTTGCTTTCTGTTTTTTGTGTCTTTTCCAGATCTGTGCCTTTGATCTTCATCTCCATAGTTTTAGGTTTGGGATTTGTTTTTAGAACCCACATTTTAGGGCAAAACTGAAACATCCCTTCCAAATTTCTGCACCAGCTCAAACCTAGGTTTTTGCCGAGGTCCCAATAACCCTTTTTTTTTTTTATACATCTTTCTGAAATCCAATACCTTTAGTTATCCCTATATCATGGGTATGTGGAAACATCGGGTAGACACCCCTTCTAAGCTAGTTAGGTAAGAGTTTGAAATCCCAGCCGATGTCAATCTGAGATTGGCTGGGGATGATGACTCCATCATGCCTACAGACAACTCCATGCCCTTCCCTGTGGTTGCCTTTATTGAGTGTGGACTTCGGTTTCCACTTGACCCTTTTTTCGGTCAAATCCTTCACTTCTATAAGTTGAACCCAATACAACTCGCCATCAATTCTTATCGAGTTATTACTGGTACCATAGCTTTAGTCAAACAAGAGAATGTCAAGATTACACTTGTCGATTTCCAGTACTGTTATACCATGTGTCGCCTTAGAAAAGACACAGACTATGTCTATTACCTCAAGCCGAGATCCACCGAATATAAAATCGTAGCCGACCTCCCAGACTCCAACAAGGGAGCTGGAGACGATTACTTCATCGTCTCGGGCAATTGGGAGTTTCAGCCAAACGACGACCTCCATCTTTATCCCTTAAGCCGAACTGTTTTGGGGGAAGGAGCTGGTAAGGGCCACCCTTCATAAGTTTCTTTTTATCTTCTTCTACAATTTGTTCAATATTTTTATTCTAATGTCTGTACCATTTTTATCTTTGCAGTTCTTCCTCAGCCACCAAAGAATTTTTGCCAATCCTTCTATCCCAGCAAGGATTTGAAAAAACTTCTGACCTTGCCAATTCACAAACGAAAGGCGCCTCTGCTCCTCAACTTTATTCCAACATACAGGTCTGCTTAGCCCGACGTCCCTAGGAGGAAGAAAAAAAGCCTTTCTCCACCATCTGCTACAACTCCACAGACTGCGTCCACATCTCGGACAGATCAAGGGTCAACTTCTAATCCAGCTGATCAGCCATCAACCTCGGCTCCATACTTGATTCCAATATCATAACGCCGCCGTCAACGCCGAACAGTCTCTACTGTCGAGATGGGTTGCCCAAAACCAGTTGTAAAAGATCTTCTGGCCAGCATTCCATCATCTGTTGACGATCAACCAGTACAAACCCAACCTCCACCGAAGCCGAAAAGAATAAAGAAGGCTCGACCAAAGGCTAAGGTAACTCAGGTTGAGTCTGAAGACACCTTGCCTATTTCAAAGTTGGTTGGGAGTGACAAACCTCAACCCTCTGCTGGGAAGAGGCGCTCTGAAGCCCAACCATCAGAATCCCCAAAATCCAAAAAGCCGAAGTCATCCTCCGCTACAACTTCGGGGTCTAAGAAGCCTGCTGCCCCCTGGGCCCCCGAAATTACTTTAGAGGAAAAGCCAGTCATGGCAAATGATAGTGTCGAGGATATTAATGTTGGCGTTGCGCTCAGCACTACTCTGCTGTTACCAGGCGATCTGGAGCGAAACGCCGAGTTGAGCGAATACGAAAACTATGCGTTGATGCTTCAACACTCTGTTCAAGTAAGTGTCTTTCATCTGGCACTTTTTTTTCTTTTTTTTTTTCATACTTAGAAATTTTTGCAATAACTTTTACCCTGTGTTTTCTTCAGGCCATCCAGCATGCCCACTCTTTTTCTGTTCAGTCTTTCGAAAATTGGCAGAAGCTGGTCGATATGAAGAAGGAGTTCTCTTCTCTTCAAAAAACCAACAAAGGCTTGCAGTCAAAAATGAAGAAGCTGGAAGACCAAGCTGAGGCCGCCATCAAAGCCCAAACTGATGCCGAAGAAAAGGCTGAATCTGCCGAGGTCATCAGGAAGGTCTCTGAGGCCCAAAGAAAAGAGGCCGAAGAGAAGATGGCCCAAGCAGAAAAAGAGCTTCAAAAAGCCTTGGCCACCAAAGAGGCTGAAATTAAGGATGCCGACAAAAAGGCATACGCTCAAGGCATGGCCGATGTCACGGAGGCTTATGAACTTCAAGTGAAGCAGGCATGCAACAAGGGTTTCACCCTTGGTTGGATGTCTTTTCTAAAGAAGCTCAATGTCCCCGAGGACTCGCCTTTCAAAAATGCCGATCACATTCCTCTTCCATTCCCTCCATCTCTACTTCCAAGTCAAGACGTCGGCGAATCTGAGTCTGAGGATGGTGATAAGGATGAGGATGAGGCTTTGGTGAGAAAATCCAAGGATGCTGATAAGGCCAAGTCCCCTCTTCAGAATGAGCAAGTCCTGGACTTGACTCAAGATGAGGAGGATGAGGAGGTCCGAAAAGATGCTGCTTCTGAGAAGACATCAGCCGATGTCACCATTGCCGAGAAGAGTGTTGAGGAAACTTTGCAAGAAATTGATGCCGAGCTTGCGGTAGAAAAGGCGGCCGAGGTGGCTTCTCAAC